GTTAACAACCATTTGATCAATAAATAGGAGAGATGCCCTCACAAAAAAAAAAAAAAAAGTACACACTTCAAATTGTAAAATAAATAAGTAACCGGGATGTAATGTATAGCATAAGGAATATAGTCAAAATATTGTAACAACTTGGTATGGTGATAGCTGGTACCTAGAATTATCATGCATATAAATGTTGAATCACTGTGTTGTACACCTGAAACTAATGTAATAATGTGTGTCAACTACCCTTCAATAAAAAATAATTATCTACAAAAAAAATTCACTTTATTAAGAATGTGCATGCTCTTATTTTCATCTCCTCATTTAAGTAACTTTTCTCTTGGTCTGATAAAGGATATTGAAGTGATGTGTTTTCATATTCGTTTGGAGGTTTTTGATTATTTGCATATAATGCAAATATTTTCACAAACTTTTTGCTTTTGTGAATCATATACGAGTTGTTATTTGACTTATTCTTTTTACTGAACTGGGTTCTTTTTGGTAGTAGCTTAGGTTATACATATTATACATAGTACGATGTATAAAAGAGTTTTCCTATGTGGATTTCCCAGAATTCAAATTGAACTTGTAACTTAGAGAAATTGAATATAAAGCCCTTCATTTAATGTATTCAAGTGTCAACTTTTCAGAAATGTTTTAAAACAGGGTATCTTCCTTTATGTATTTTTTTTTTTAGCCAGTGGATATTGGAAGTGATGTACCAATAGATTGTTTAGTCATAACAAAATAATGCATTTTGGACAAGAGGGGGTATTAAACATGATAAAGTATTTTATAGAGGAAAACAACTCATATAATAATCTGCTTATAGTTTAAATTTAGAATATGTAATAATTTAAAATGTCTAATACCTTAGTTCCATGCAGTTAATTTGCTTTGTAAAAGAGTGGGATTGGAGAAGTGTGATTAAAAGAAAAAAAAAAAACTTTTCAGACCCAGTGACGATGCTGATGAAGGTACAGACACACCCGTTAATGAGTCCAGGAATGCCACAGATGGATCCACCCGAAGAGGACTCATTTCCAGTCTAGCTGAGCACATTCTCTTCAGTAAGTGAATCCCACACTCTTTGTTTCTGCTGTTCAGATCCAGCGTGGAGCAGATTCCAAAATGGACTCTGTGTAGTTAGGTTCCACTTCTTGCCCTAACACCTAATGCACAGGAGGTGTAGGTGAGTTATTGGGAAAAACGTGGTGCTGTGGGGATTTGAGGTAATAACTGAGTAAAACATCTCAGATGGTGCTCGATAATTAATAGGTGCGTCTATGCTAGTTCTTAACACTTTTTAAAAAGGAGTATTGTCAAAATGCTTTGTTGCCACTTTTGCTCCAGAGTTTGTTTCTTTGAACTAACTTGTGGATGGCATCTAGGTTTCTAGTTGCATGTCCCTTTCCCCTCTGACGCCATGATTATTTGTCTTCAGCAAATATTGAGGGGCTATTATATGTGAAGCTTTGTTTTAGCTGTAGGGAATTCAAACTGAATAATTTATGGATCTGCGCTTTAAGAGCTTACGCTCTTGTTGGTGGGATAGTTGTACACAAATAATGCAGGTGGGAGTGGCACAGAGTGGAGTGAGTTGAGTGCAGAATTAGCCCTCCTGAAGTTCCAGATTGCAGCGTTGCGTCACGTTGGAGAGGCTGCTTTAAGCCCTGTTGCGCAGCTTGGCCCCTTGGCACCCAACAGAGCGGAGACCTCCCTGCCTCCCTGTGCGCGATCCCCCAGCGGCGGCTCAGAGCAGACTCCGCATCTCCTCCTGACACTGCCGCAGAGGCTTCCCCACCTCCTCTCGCTGTGCCCATGCTTGCTCTGCGCTAGGCCAGAGTGGTCTTTCTTAAGCATATCTGGTTGTCCCTCCCTGCTTACATTCTGGATGCCAAAAACTTGCTTAATGTTGAAAAGTTAGAGAATAAAGATAAAACCCACTACCTAAATAATCAGGGGTATTGCTGTCTAGTCTCTAAAGTTGTTTTTTACAGTTTTGTATTGTGCTGTTTATAGCACAAATATTTACTTGTGTTTTCAAAAATTCTTTATAGACATTCTTTTTAATGACTATAAATGTGGCACTTGGTATTTTTCTATTTTTTAAACACCAGAGATACCATTAACTGAGAGTGAAGTATTCATGAATTTATTATCATTTCAGAAAACTCACAAATGTTTCCTTATTTCAGATTATTTCATAGGCATTCTCATTTTAGATCTATATGAATCTGATTTTCTACCAATTTCAGAGAATTAGGTTATGGACTATAGTCATTCTTGAAAGTATTTCTGTTTCCTTCCTTCCTACCTCTGACCTGCCTCTGAGCCAGGTTGAAAAAAGGAAATGAAAATCTACTGAGTACCCATTACAATGGGTTCATCCTCCTATGGCCCAATGAACTAGGTACTATTCTCATTTGACAATGAGGAAGCTGAGGCCAGGGAATTTAAACAATTTCCCCCAAGTCATGAAATTTAGTCAGTGTAGAAGTTAGGATTTGAGCTCAGACTTTCTGACTTAAAATCCACCCCCACCCTCACACCTTTATTTTAATGTGGCAAACACCTGCTAGAGGGAGGTAAAGCGGACAGTAACCAGAACAAGTCAAGAAACACAAAAATGGACTTTTCTATAGAGTGCCTAGAACAGGCTTAGACTATGGGTCTTGGTATTTCCTTAAAGGTGTCTCTTGGTCATTCAGTAATGAAGTTCCTTTGGCCTGTTTCAAAGGTGGACCTATCTTTGCCTGAATTCTTTTTTATGATGAGTAGTCATCTCTAATGAGGTTTCATTGGCAAGAACTTGGTATATTGTTGTAACTTTCTGTGCTAAATTATAGTTATGGGAAATGTGGTAGAGGAAGAGGATTTTAATAGTTTTAGATGCTCCTTTTTAAGATTTAGGTACCTTAAAAAGTTTCAGTTGTATTTTTAGAAAGTGCAACTAAGCTTTGTGTTTCCCTTCCAGCTGCCAGCAAATCCTGTGCCATTATGTCAACACACATCGTGGCCTGCCTGCTTCTCTACAGACACAGGCAGGTATGTCTGCACTATCTACAGTTAGATAGAAAGTGTGAGAATTCTTCATCAGCTGTCTTAAATACATATTCACTGATAGATTTGGCCCATTCCTGGGGAAATAAACTAAGGAACCTGTCCTCAGGAGTTAAACCTTAAACCTGATGGAAGAAGGAATAACTCTACATGGGAAAAAAACCCTCAGAGACTGCTTAATATATATAATAAGACATTATTTAAGTAATATAGTTAAATAAGGGATGTTTCCTTACTATGTAGTATTTTGATAGCTAATGTTTTCCAAGCTATCTGATTTGTATTTAGAACCACGCTCCACTCTCCCACAATATACTTGTCTAAGCACTGTGTTGGGAAAGACCATGTCTGCCTTGCTCATAATCATGTTCTCAATACCAAATACAATGCTACTATATATAGACACCAAATAAATATTTATCAGATAAATATTTAAAATGAGAGAAATTCTTGCTAAAAAATAAATACTTCTTACCTTCAGGTGACTTTTTCTTCCTTTTGTGATCTTACCTGCCCATATCATGTGTTGTGGCTAGAATATTCTCTGGTTGTAGAATATTTTGCCATTCCTGGTGGTGGGGAGGTCAACTTTTTAACCAGTTTTCTCATTTTCTTTACATTGGTTTTTTTTGGCCCCTTTCCTGTATGTGCCAGCAGCAAGCTACAGGAAAACAAAGACAAGAGAAAAAGTCCCTGGAATGTCTCCTTGGCCCTTTGGGAAGTAGGTTTTCCATTCTCATGAGACCATTTCTGTCTGTTTCTCTAGGGAATTGATTTTTCCACATTGGTGGAGGACTTCTTTGTAATGAAAGAGGAAGTCCTGGCTCGTGATTTTGACCTGGGGTTCTCAGGAAATTCAGAAGATGTAGTCATGCATGCCATACAGCTGCTGGGAAATTGTGTCACAATCACCCACACCAGCAGGAATGATGAGTTTTTTATTACTCCCAGCACAACTGTCCCATCCGTCTTTGAACTCAACTTCTACAGCAATGGGGTACTTCATGTTTTTATCATGGAAGCCATCATAGGTATGTCCTGTCCTGTATATTTTCATGGAAAATAAAAGGGCCTAAAACAATAATGATGTGCCCTTTAATTTAGATGATAACTCCTTGCTTGAGGGAATGTGTTGCTATATTTTCAGTTTTCAAAGAAAAATGTAATCTTTATCACTATTTATAGCTTATTTTTACATTTATTAAACAAGTAAGTATTGAATTATTGTGTGCCTAATATTACACTTGTTACTGAGGAGCAGCATCTTGCTATCCAGGAGCCGGAAATCTAAGGAGCCATGACATATAAATGGTGGTGTGAGTGGAGGAGGGGGGGTGTCATTTGTGGTCAAGAGGGAACAGAGGAGAAGGACAGCAGAGGGTACTGAGGCCCCCAAGGACGGTGTTTGGAGTTGGGATCACATGGAATTATGAGACATGAATCTTGGGGGATTTACTTAAATTTCTCTAGTGAATACAAATAATTATATCTGATGCATTAACAGCCTGTTAGGATGACCCAAGTTCTCTGAAGTTTCTCTTGGAGCTCCAAGGTTGCCAGCTTCATGATGTTTTCATTTCCTCAGCCTGCAGCCTTTATGCGGTTCTGAACAAGAGGGGCTCTGGAGGGCCTGTGGGTTCATCCCCGAGCCTGGTCAGCCAGGAGCAGCTGGTGCGGAAGGCCGCCAGCCTGTGCTACCTTCTCTCTAATGAGGGCACCATATCTCTGGTAAGTGAAGACTCTTTAGTGTTGCCTGTTCTCTTTTTCTTAATAGAAACAACCTTTGTTTTTTCTCTTCGAGAATTTGTCATACGTTATTGAAGCTTTACATTTTACTCCTGGTTCTCAATGATCACCAAACCAAAGTGTTATTTACTTTCTTGGTTGCAGTCAGGGTCACTGCTCAGGTGAACCTTTCATGCAGCTATGAGACATGATAGGACGCAGTTATTGCCCAGTGTTCTCCATTGGTCAGATACAAAGTTACTAAGCTCTTACTGGGCATAAGGCACTGGGTCAGAGGTTTTTAAGTAAGTAAAATATCCACTTGTGGATGATAGAACCATAGAAGAAAATTTTTAAGACTGTTTCTGACTTTTATCTGCTCAACCCCTTCTCATTTTGCAAATGGGGAAAGTAAGGCCTACAGTACTAATGAGCATATGTGTTACATATTCAGACACTTTTAAACATTTGTAAGGAGGCCTATGTGTTAAGCAGGAGAGAGATTTTTCTTCCTCAAAATCAACAAATAGAGTTCATATTTAAATTCTAATACTCTCTTCTACTTTTGTGAGTGTGTGTCTGGAACATAAATGAGTCCATGCATTCCCAGCATAGCCCACCTCCACAGCGTTCTTTGCACGTGGCATTTTGATGGCCCTGTCAAGGAATCTGTTCTGTGTGAACTTTGGGAGGCAGGATGGGAAGGGATAGGGTAGATAGGACTCCCACACTTGGCCTTGTCCTTTTCCTGGGTCTTTTTGAGTTATTTGAATATTGTGTTCTCATCTACCACCTTTATGTGCAGTATTTGCTGTAAGACAGCTTTTAAGAGAAACTGTCTTACAGAGCAAACACAAGAGGTGCTAGGGTCTGACAAGCGGCCCTCCTGAGGCCTTGCTGCCCGGCGGGGAGATTGGGCTAGGAGCGCCCTTTGCACGAGGTGCCGCTTTGGGCACTTGGCCAGTCAGGGGCAAGGCCTCTCGTCGGCTTTGCCCATGCCCGTGCGTCTGTGAAGGGGATGGGCATCAGGAATGTTCGGGCTTGCCTGGTGGAGTGAGGCAGATGATGATATGGAGACATTTAGCAGCTGCCTTGTACCATGCTTTCTGTCTTTTAAAAAGCAAGTATAGGACAGTGACATTTAAATTTAAATGCCTTTTATTTTCAGCCCTGTCAGACATTTTACCAAATTTGCCATGAGACAGTAGGAAGGTTTATCCAATATGGCATTCTTACAGTGGCAGAGGTAAGAGGAATAGCTTTCCTTTATGTAGTTTCTTGCTCTTCATTTCCTTATATTTTCTACCAATTATTGTAACCAATATTATGACCCATTATTTTAACCAATAATTACATGTGATGTATAGTTAAGTCCAGATGAAGAAAAAAGAGAAAAATAAGAACAGGGAGAATAAATGTCTTCTGCAGTTATTTCAGATTTTAGTTCTTTCATGTAACTGGGTTAGTCTAAAACATATCTTGACTTGATTCTATGGCATCCAGAGGTTTGCATTCCACGATGATATGTTTTAATATCAGTGTGCTTATAATTTACACATCAGCATTTTTCTCTTTGGAGATTTTATGTTAATTTTGGTAGATGTAGTGTAGAGGGTATGGCTTGGGAAAGGAGATACCAGCAGAGAAGAGGTGAAGGCGTTTTTATTTATCTGTCCTGTGGGCGTCTCCCCCACCCCCTGCCCCCACATCCTGTCTTTCCTGCCCTCCTGTCACTTGAGTGATTTTGACTCTGGGAAGGGAATCGGGTTGGTGCTGTGAATGGCCAAACAGAGAAGAGCAGGGAAGGGAATGAGGGGGGGCTGCCTTGTCTGGGGCCCGGCTGGGGGGATGTTGTGCGTATTTGTTCACTCTTGGTCCTCTACTTCGCATAGCAAGACGAGCAGGAAGATGTGAGTCCTGGTCTCGCCGAGCAGCAGTGGGACGAGAAGCTTCCTGAGCCTCTGTCTTGGAGAAGCGATGAGGAAGATGAAGACAGTGATTTTGGGGAGGAGCAGCGGGATTGCTGCCTGAAGGTACTTGTGTTCTGGTGGAGTTCTGGTGGCCCTCGCAGTGCTGCGCTGAGGTTCACGTGGCCCCTAGTTGATGAGTTCTCATGACCAGGAAGTCCGCTGACTTCTGTATATCTACAGCACCCACAGGCCCGTTGCAGAACTTTCTATCTAGTAAAGACACTCAAACTTTTGAGCTGAATCAATCAATACCGTACGTTGTTCAGTTTGGGTATAGGTAAATGGGAAAGGAAACAGAGTCTGAAAATTCAGAAAGATGCATGTAGTAGAGGATACCTTTCATGATCCTTTCACCAGAATACACAGGTGTAAACCAGCTTACACCTGCGTTCACTCCTAAAGGGGCAGGGTTTTTGTTCAGTTATCACCAAAGCAAGGCAACACCAGACCAGGAGTGGCAGAGAAATTAGTATTCAGCTACCCTTGGCCTGGTTGTTCTCTGTGAGTCACTTTTGCCATCTGTCCCAGAATTTCATACATCAAGCTCTTTGCCTTGAATTGAAACAGTTCCTATCACAGAGAAAATTTGGATTTTTAAAAGATGGATTGTCCCTGATTTAGAAAAATTAATTTTGTCTAGTTTATAATTTTAGAAATTACTAATAATGGCCCATCTTTTCTGAATACCCTATGTGGATTACTCTTTTTGTAGTGGGGTAACAACCCTAGTTTATACACACACACACACACACACACACACACACGTCAGGAGGTATAGCTTCTGGAGATGTCCTTTTTTCCATTTGGGGTATTGTTAGTTTCAGGATTGGGCAGTGATCTTGCTTTGATACTCCAGAGGGGCTTATGTGGATGTGCGTGTTTTGGTGGGTATAGTAAGCGCCCCACCCACACCACCACAAGGCACCCATCCCCACCACCATCCATCCCCACTGTGCTGAACTGTAGGCCAAAGGCCATGTGGCAGTGGCAGGAAGTAAGGGCGGGGAAGGACTGAGATGATCTTGGTGGTCTTGCCACATGGTCTTTTGCACACTTGAGTGACTGTCCAGCTAGGCTTCAGACCCTAGAGGGTCCAGCCTTGGGCCCAACTATGTTCAGTGATGATAATATGTCATCATTATGTCATTCAAGGACAACAGTTTCTTCCAGAAGCTGTTCAATGAATGCAAACCTCAAACACTGTAAAAGTCAATGATTACAATGAAGAACACATTTCAATACCAGCAGTCATTTCTAACAGATTGTGTGTGCTTGGATCAGTAGGCTGCTTCTGTGTGGTCATACTGAGAGGCCCTCTTCTCGAGCATTGGTCCTCTGAGGAAGTTCTTTGTTTCTTGTCCCTTCTCTATGACTTGATCTCTGCCCTCCCAGGTGAGCCAATCCAAGGAGCACCAGCAGTTCATCACATTCTTGCAGAACCTCCTGGGGCCTCTGCTGGAGGCTTACAGCTCTGCTGCCATCTTCATTCACAACTTCAACAGCCCTGTCCCAGAGCCTGAATATCTGCAGAAGCTGCACAAGTACCTGATCACCAGAACAGAAAGAAGTGTTGCAGTGTATGGTATGTATGCTGCTCTTATAGCTTCTTCTAAAAGCTGTGCCTTTTATGAATATAGGAATCTGCTGATTGTAGACAATTGGGGAAAATATGAAAAATTATCTGGACCTCTAACTCCATAGATTACTACTGTTACCTGTTTTGGTATGTCAGAAGAGTATATAATTGTATCATCCACTTTGTATGTCTAGCTTTTTTCACTTAACATTTTAAGTGATATTCATACATGTTACTGTGTTGGTTATTCTTGTTGCTTTGCAATTTTATTCCTTATAAATATTGACCACATTTAATTTATTCATATTCATCATTGATATTTGGGTTGTTTGTGGTTCACAGCTACTATGAATAGTGCTGCTATGAGGTTAATTTGAATGTCTGTGGGGGAACACGTACACTTATTTATATTGGGCTGTATCTAGGAGTAGAACTGCCTCACCACAGGGTGGAGTATATCCGGCTTTAGTAGATGCTGCCAAATGGTTCCTCAGCCATTTGATGATTTGTATTCCCACAACAGGTTGTGTTTTGGTTGTTCCACATCCTGGCCAGCAGCGCTCAGTATTATCTGTTATGTATGAGGCGTGATGAGGGTGGGAGTAACATTTTATACAGTTATGGTTTAGGACTACAGCTACTTTGAATTAATGACTTTTAGAGCCAGAAGGATCTATCTCTAGATATCTGTTGAGATCTCTCTCTCTCTCTCTCTCTCTCTCTCTCTCTCTCTCTCTCTCTCTCTCTCTCTCTCTCTCCCTCCCCCACCCCCATGAATATAGAGAGCTCTAGACAGATGTCTAAAGATAGAATAACCCCATCTTATAGATGAGGAAACTATCCCAGATCACATAGCTAGTTAATGGGCACACCTGCGTTCAGAGCTTGTTTTTTTTCTGACCTCTAGACCTGAGCTCTTTCCAGTTCCATGGACGTAGGACTCATCTATGCATCACTGTGTCCTTTAAGGGAATTTCTACATGCTGTCTCATCTGATGCTCAAAAGCACCCCTTAGAGAAGGATGTTTTAGGCATATCTCCTTCTTGTCCTCATTCTGTCTGTCTTTTTCTCTCTTTCCTTATCCCTATTTCCTTCTCTTTTTTCCTTGAAGGATGATAAAGTAGGCTTAAGGAAACAGCAAATCATTTGAGATCTCAGAAGTTGCCAGTAGCTGAAATGGAGCTTGAGCCTGTCTGCTGACTTGCTCTCACTGGCTTCATAGCCTCCCACACTGTCTTGCCATGAGTATTGGGGTGTTTGTGCTTCCTGGGCCTCAGTATTTGACAGGGTCTTATTCTTTCTCTATAGCTGAGAGTGCCACATATTGCCTTGTGAAGAATGCTGTGAAAATGTTTAAGGATATTGGGGTAAGTGTTCACTGCATGTGGAATGAAAGCTTGTGTTAACTTATGTGCTCAGTTTAGATCCAGCCATTCCAAGCCACCTTTGTGCTGAGATGGACCTTGAGAGGAGCAGTTTCTCCTAGATTAATCATGACGGTGTTTCTGGGGCTTAGGATGGAAAGTGGCATGTTGAAGTCAAGACCCATCAGTACAGATATGTTCAAATAGAATGTTCCAGCATTTTCTTGGTTTTCATCTTTATTCCAAAACTGGTTATATGTAACAGATGCCAGTGTGTCTCAAGATGCTGTTACAGCTTTAGCAGGGATGTTAATTATACCATGCAACTTTCAGTTACCTTATGTTTTTACCAGTATTGCTGGAAGTATCCTCAGGTATCCTTTACCTCAGTGGATCATGTGGGATATGAGTTCCATGTAGGTACTAGTGACCTTTATAGGGACTATTTATAACTTTATACTAACACGGATTTTAAAGGATAGTCCACTGGTTGAACTCCATCTATAAAAACACCACACCTGCACTCACAACCTGCCCACCCCATACTCACACACACACGTGTACATTTACTTAAAACCAGGGAACAGTTCTATGTACCTTACTGCCATTTGGAGTCTAGATGATGGAAATATCCTTTTTTTTCCCCTGTCTGTCTTTAATTTAATCTAAACTTTTTCTCTCTAGGTTTTCAAAGAGACCAAACAAAAGAGAGTGTCTGTTTTAGAACTCAGCAACACTTTTCTACCTCAGTGCAACCGGCAAAAGCTCCTGGAATATATTCTGAGTTTTGTGGTGCTGTAGGTAACTCCTAGCACCCCTGGCAAGTGAGGGGCATCGGATGAGTCCCTCATAGGCTCCAGCCTCTGGCTTGAGAGCTGAGGGTGCCGTCGTGTGGTCGGGCCTGGCCTGGCCTGATGAGACCTCCTGGAAGACAAGTGCCTTCTCCCTTCCGTGGAGCTGTGATCACCCCAAGACTGAGATGATGTGACAGCCTACAGATCACACTCTGGGGGCCCATCAGCCTCCATTTGCAACTCATAATCAATAGATTACAAAATGAAATCTCAAAAATTATTTTGGAGTGTATTAAAGATTTACATTTTAAGTATAACTGTTAAGGACTAATTACCATGATGGATGCAAAAATGTAGTTGTATTCCAGAACTGAATCTTGTATACTTGATGCTGATAAGTAATTCATTGCAATATTTTCTTATTAACGGTTAATGCTTCCTTTAAAAATAATTGAGTCATCTCTTCACTTTTTTTTTTTTCAGTTTTATCTTTGTCAATAATAGTGACATTTTAAATGGAACACCTTTCATCCCAAAGTGCTTTACAAATGGGCTGATATGCACTACACCGAGGTACCACTGTGCTGTCTTTGGCAGTCAGATTTGGAAAGTGTCTTAAGAGCTACATGAAAACACAATATTAGTTTAGGTCAGGAAAAGAAAGAATATAATCAGATAGCTAATGTCAGGAAATAAAATGTTGGGCCAGCAAAATTCAAGGTAAACTCAGCCAGAAAACTGAGTCTGAAAACTTTTGCTCATATAAAAGTGCCATTGAGTTTGAAGTGACCAGCAAGTATTTAGGAATAATTCTTGTTTTATGTCCATACCCCTTCCCCACCACCTGAGGGTGGAGCTATTTCGTGGAGATCCACCACCCAGATAGGACCTGTCCTCTGGCTGACCTTGGCCTGTGGCATGAAGCAAGCATCGGGTTCTCTGGCTGCAGGCTGCTGACCCAGGGCTCTCAGGTACTGCGTTCAGGTTGTGCACTGCGCCTGGTTCTGGGCAACAGACACTCAGGTTGTAGTGTCAATCTGGGCAGAATATGTGGTAGCCCTACTGACTGGTAAATGTTTGGAGGCATTTATGGACTTGTGATTTTGAGGAAAAACCATGGTTCTTTAAAAATGTATGTGGGTTATATGCCTAACCCCTGATGTGACAGAGTGGCAAATAATTATGAAAAATTATCTGTTCCTCAAGGGTAGATGCCCTTTTGTGAGCAGGGAGTATAATTATAAATTAATCATGGTAATTATGGTGATTTCTTAAAGATCATATGATATTAAAATATTTTCTAATAGCTTACTGTCCCCTCTGTCCATGGTGTTACGGAATTAGGAATTTTTCTGCAGAATATTATATATAGCCTTTGAATTTAATATAAAAGTACTGAGAATTAAGTTTGTACACTCATAAGCTTGGATTTTAAACACTAATAGTATCTCATGGATATTCAGTACGTGTTGGGAGAAGAAATCGTATTGATTCTTCACAATGTATGAAATATCATGTTGGAAACTCAGCATAAGGCTGTGCTCTGCAATCTTCCACTCTTCTTAAATTCTGCATCGAAAAATATACCTTTTCTTTTTGGAGACTCATGTACTGCTAAGCCATCGTCAATGTTGTAGAGGCTCTGGTGTGGAGTCGACCTTGACCTTGCAGCATTCCCCTTGATTACCCTTCTGCTGGGATAGAACACCTCTTTTGGCTGGGGCTCTGAGTTTGGGGCTACACCAGAAGAGGTTTTTTTGTCCCCTTGGGTGGTCCTTATCCAGGCAAGCAGACATTTCACTTGTCTCTTTCATTCATCCTCAATTATAGATCAAGGGTCACTCCAACTCTTAGTTATCTGGAAAGGAAGGTGGGGACTGACTTCCTAGCGGATCCTGCTGCCCTGCCCATGGCATCTGCTAACAGCAGCTGCCCTGCTGGCCTGAGCAGGGAACAGCCACTTCTCCAGCTTTATTTTCCCTTTCAGTTGGTTTGTTTTCTAAAAAACTAATCAAATGCTTTGGGGAATGCAGTGTATGATTTGCTAGCTCTCTCAACATTTAACTCACTGTGAGAACAAATATGCATGCTTTTTGTAATTAATTGGTGCTTTGAAAACCTTTTACAGGGGAAGAAAAATCTCAACCAAAGTTATGCTCATCCAGACAAGCTGACCCTTGAGTTAATTTCAGCACAACTCATTCTCCAGTGCCTCATTTCTAAAAAAAAAGTGCATCATCACAGCAAGGCTTCCAAATAGCACTATTTTGCTTAAATATTTATTTTCATTGTTTTCTAAAAGCAAATGGCTTCCATTAAGATTAAATAAACTAGGTGCTTGTAAATAACTTATTACAGTTTACTGCATTTCTATAAAACTGAAATGCACGCCCTCCAAGGGAAGACTGTGAGTCAAGTTAAAAAACAAACAAAACCCAATAACTAGCAATATGAAATCACACTCTTTCAAAATGAGAAAATCCTAAGGGATTTCAGAATAGAGGAAGGAATTTTTATTCTCTTAAATTTAAGAGAATCAAAGGGAAAGATCTAGTGGGAAATGTGTAGAACTAGTAGCAGGAAGTACTGAGTCTTCCTTCTCAGATCTGTTAAATCTCTGGAAGTGGGGAGGATGAGTGTAGAAAACACATCAGGGATTACAATGAATATAAACTATTTCTGTGGAATTTCCAGTCATCTAAAGGGGAAAAGTGTTTCCCATAGTTCTCCATATAGTAAGTGCTTTGTGAGATGTTCATAGGTGTTTTGTAGATTAAATAGAGCTGGAAAAATAAATTTGTACATGGATCCTCCCTCTTTCCTAGAAACTTAGAGTGCCCTTTGGCGTGGTAAGGGCTCAGGGTCTGCCAGGACCAAGCCTGTCTAACCCAGCATTTCCAAACTTGTGACTCCAGGACCACTTTTCCCTATGGGACACCTGTGAACTTCTCACTGGTAGCCCATGGAACACATTTTAGGAAACACTATGGTAGGTAATTCTCTTAGGGGACAAAGCAGTAACAGATGGCAGAATCCACATGCATTTTGGATGATCAAAGGTTACATTGAATGGATGTGTGTTTCCTTCCCTGGAGACAGTAAGCACAGAAAACCATCATACAGGGGCTCAGGGCGCTTTCCTTTGATGGAAAGACCAGCTGTCAATGACCCTGGGTTTTTCACTGAAAGTAGTAAAGTTAACATAAGGATTAATTGGGGTAAATAACTAAGATTTTAGTTTAGATCTAGAAGAAAATATTGCACAATTGAATGCAAGTTTTTATCTATAGGTAGTTCTAGCATTTAGAAATGGTAGAACCTATCACTGAAGTTTCTAAGACTGAATTTGGATGTAAATCTGTTTTTTAAAACACTTTTTAGGAACTTGCGACTTGGCATTTGGCATTTTAGTTTAATACAAACTAATGATTGCATTTGAAAGAGACTTGACTTTATTTCTAAATATCTGAAGCTCTGAATGCCTTGATGGAAGGTGTTGAACTGTTTTCCTGTTGTACAGAGAAACATTAAGTTGTTATAAAAAGAATTATTATAAAGTACTGTGATAATAATACTGCGTGATTTTGTGAGTGAAACTTACTTGGAAATGTTGACTGATTTTTATGCCTGTTAATGTATTGTAAGAAGCACAGAAGTGTAGTTTTATGTTAATAAACCAAAAAATGAATATATGCTAAATGTCTTACATTTGTAGTTAAAAGTTCCCTTCATAATTCATTACATAAACAATTGTTTTTGACTTTACATGGAAATTTATTAAGATGCTTATGAGAAATACTCTTACATAAATATATGAGCATGCAGTACGTGATATATTATTGACCCAGAGCTCTTCAAATTTAATCAAGCCTTTGGAGATATAGATATCTACATCTTAGCACTTGCTCTCAGTAAGTATTCATATCATAGAGATATTCTTTGGTTTCTGTAAAGATTCTTTAAACTGGGTGCTTCTCTCATATTTTTATTTATTTAAATTTATAAATGTATGCACTGAAGTGTTAGGTCTTCCCCACTAGGTCATAATAGTTGCTCAAATTTACATACATACAATGGAATGTCATTTGGTCATAAAATGAAATCTTGCCATTTACAACAACATGGATGGACTTAAATGATATTATGCTAAGTGAAATAAGCCAGGCAGAGAAGGACAAATGCTATATGATTCCTCTTCTATGTGGAATGTAAACAGAACAGAAATAGACTCACAGACAGTAAGAAGTGACTGGTGGTTACCATGGCAGAGGGGTTGGGGTGGGAGGGTTAAATAGGTGAAGGGGATAAAGAAGCACGAAGTCTCGATTATATGAATTAGTTATGGGATGAAAATGTAGCATAGAGAATATAGTCAACAATACTGTAACATCTTTCTGTGTTGACAGGAAGTAATTACTTATTGGGGTGAGCATTTAATAATGTTGATTACTATTGAATCACTATGTTGTATGCTTGAAACCAATATTGTATATCAACTATGAAATATGTATTAGTTCACTCTTTAGACAAGTCAGGCATGTGTTATATCAGAGCACTATTTTCTGTGGATCCTTTGAAGTCTCTCAAGTCAACTTTCTCTCAAGAATATGACCTCCAGAAAGGGTGGTAAGTATGTACCTGGCATGCTGTCCATGCCCTTTGGCATGGGTGTGTGACATGGCTGTGAATCTGACACCCAAGACTGCCCATCTGTTCTCTGCCAGCACCTCCATCTGAACTTTGTTCTTGTAGCCCTTAGATTTTCTCTGGTATGTTGTTCATTAGGACTATGCCCCTGTCTCTGCCCTTTGGTGCCTTCATTCTTCCCTTTGTATTAGCAGCTCTCTTGCAGTTGCCAAACATGACCTTCCCTCTACCATGGCAAAATTCTAACTTTTACACTCTCTTTAAATGGATATTAATTTTGAAGTCTAATTTCTTAATGTTTAGTTAGTACTAAGTCCTATTTATTCCTTTTTTTAACTCCTTGCAATCTGTCTTGTACACCTGTGTCTAATAAAATGCCAACATACCTCCTTGACAAATACAAAAGTATATTCATAGTTGTTCACAGCCTCTGTGATGTCCATGCTGCAGCCCAGCCTCTCAGTGAGACTCTGTCTGCTCCTTCGGTGTCCATGGCTCTCTGGTCCCCTGTTTCCTGTATGACTCCCCTCTTCTCCAGCTCTTCCTTGCCTCCCATCCTTTACCACACAGTCCTGGTGGTGTTGCCAGATCCTCTGATGTTAAACAAAGTCAATTTTGTCTGATATTTGTATTTTTTTATATGAAAGCACCCAATTTTGACATGTTTGTTCAACAGACTGTGGACCATGTAAGCTGCCTAACTGACAGTTTCTGTCTTGTCAGCCAACAGTTCATGTCTTCTGGCCCAGGAAGAAGAGGTTTTGAAAGGACCAGTTCAAGGTACCCTTTCCAGGATCCAGAAGGTGATCCATCATTGGGAGATTGACCTCGCTTATCTGAGTTAAGCAAGGATGAAGTCTCGAAGCAAGTCTTTGTTGGGGACCACTGGGCGATGTTTAACAAGGCAATGGCCATCTGAGTCAGCCTTTGATGTCAGGCTCATAGCCGTGTCCATACCAAGGAAAGTGTGTATCAAAACAAACCAGTGTTTTCACTGTCAGTGGGCTTGGTACTAGTGTAAAAAGCTACTTATGACATCAAATGGTTAGGATAAGTGAGTGAACAAACTCAATTTCCAGTTTTCTGTTAAAACATCTTGCTACCTTCATATTGCAGGTGGGTTAAAAATTAGAAGGAAAAGAACCACACAGACACACCCACAAGCACCTGTGGAAAGTCCTCAACTTACACAGCCAAGACACAGAACTTAGTAAAAGTGAGCAGCTATGTAAGGCATGAGTAGCTAATGATGCCTTTCCCCTTGCTGCTTTCTGGGTTCTTTATTGGAGGGTTGACCCTATACCTAGATCCTCACTGGCCTGCAGCAGTCCCTTCATAATAATTAATAATTCCCTCCTTTGACTCTCTCTCTGAGTCCCAGTTTGTATAATAGACTATATGGTCACGGTACCCATGAGACATGCAGCTGCCAGTGACAGAAGTTCCTTCTGAAGTTGAGAAGCTTTTTAATTTTTAAAAATATACTCCAGTATTTACCACCTGAGAACTTAAACTATCTTTGAACTTATCTTATAAGGAAATGTTTATAAGCATCTAACTGCTGCTTCTGGAATCAATCTTTGCACTTACGGGAAACAGCAGAGAAAGTTCCCCCAGTAATCTCAGCTCTTCAAAGCTCATCTCCTCTAGTGCTTTTGGAGGGTTCGAGGCCAGATGCACATGCTCCAGCATTTCCCTGTTGTTGAGATGGTGAGCAGAACACCCCCACTTCCATCTATCTGTGTAACTCGAGGTGTCAGGCTGGGGAAGACAGCTACCTTTCTCCCTTCACCTAATAAGGAAAAAGTCAACAACATGGGGCCCACGACGAGGATCTGAAAAAGGGATTGAATGTGGCTGCTGTCTGTAGACCAGTGGTTCTCAAGTGTGATGGCCAGTTGAGCAGCACCAGGACCACCTGGGAACTAGTTAGGAAAGCAGATACCCTGGGCCCCACCCAGTGCTCAGCAGTCTGTTTGAACAAGTCCCGGTGCCTCATAAATTTAAGAACCCCTGACTTAGACACATTGCCTTGGCAAAACCTGGAGTTTCACAGTTCTGCAAGTTGTACTCAGGAAGTGAAAACAAGGGAGGGATATAGGTAATAAAAACCCTTTGCAAATTGATTTCTTCTCAGGAAAGTATTGAATTATGTTAGTTGGACCAAAGTGGCCTTT